TTTGTTTCTAAGTTTTCCAGTAAGGCAGGGAGGACAAAGGTCTCCCTCAACTCTCTGCCTCTACTTTTTCTTCTTTAAAATTATGATAGCAAAGCGAAAGCGTCTTGTCAGGTTCCCCCAGGGTGGGTCTGCCACCGCTCACAGAGGCGGTGTTTGTTTCCCCTGCCCCACTGCGTTTCCCCGGGGGGATCCCAGATGTGGAACCCGCAGAGCTTGCAGAAGAAGGTGCCCTACGGAGACTGCTGGGCAGCTCCTAGATGGTCTCCTTGCCAAAGAGCCCTCTCACCAAGCCAAAGATGTGGCCCCGTCTCCCGGCGGGCCTCGGCACAAGCAACGGCCAGCACGTGGCTGTGCGTGACTCGCACGCCGGGCAGGGAGGAAGGCTGCGACGCAGACCCCGGCGCAGAGAGCAAATCGCCTGCCTTCCCCTGGCCACCGGCTCCACGGGTGGACTCTGGACTTGACCTGGCGTGGGCATCCTCATGCTCTAACTACATCTCCAAAGGGATCAGACCTACCTTTGAAATATGATATACAATTCTTGGAAGAATGCCTTATCAGGATTCCTCTAGAAGCCAGATATCACCTCCACTGGCAGGCACTACTTCAGCAAGAAGCCAGAGTACTCTACTAGTACTTCTGGTAGTTTCTGTTAAGTGCAAAGAAGTGCTAGGGGCTCGGCATTAAATATAAACAAATGAGCAAACAAACAGATTTTGCCCACAGCCACCTAAAAGCATAGCTACTCTACTTCTGAGGTCTGCTCAGGAAGATGCAGAGTGTTGGATCCAGCTGACTCGATCCATGCCTAGGAGCAGAATGAGGTGGGGGGAGGTTGCGTGTCTTCTATCCCCCCAGCTGTTCTTCCAAGCACTGAGGAGCAGCAGGGGACCTCCTACAGCGATGTGAAAAAAAATGCGCATTTGAGACAAAGGCAAGATCCAGGCATGTTGTAACCAAAAGGTTTAAAATAGAGATTCACTTCAATAGTTCTAGTCACAGGATTAGAAACTTGTAAGAAGCTTCAAAAAAAATTTCGTTGGACAAAATGCTTTTTCTAAAGCATACACTAAAGAAAAAAGTATAGTGTATTTAATTATATTTTCAGTCCAGAATAAAGTGTCAGTGGAAACGAGGAAGACATGTGCCAAAAGAACCAACAGTTTGGTGGTTAAGGCAGCTCATCTGCTGTGTGGGATAATAAAGTCCAGATCCTGCTTTATATTAGGGAATGTGATTTTCTTTTTATTAATTTAATTGTTTTCTTATTCATGCCAGGAGCAAATTTAAATTTACTTTTGGGAGGTCAAAATTCACTTCATGTTCTTGCAAATGGGCTGAATTATTTATAGTGCATAATGTTAGTAAAAAGATTAGTAAAAAAAGCTTTTTGGGGGGATAATCTACATTTGTATTAGCTAACCAACTTTGGGTTTGATCTATTTGGAAATTGATCAATTCAGAAACAATAAGAAATTATTTACTAACAATTAATAATTCTGCCCACATTTTTCCAGGGCTTTAAGTGCTTGGATAACATTCACCGGATACCAAATGGCAAAAAAGAACATGGGAAAGTGAATTACCTTCCCCATCAAATTTACATCTATATGCATAACCAGCATTTGTGTTTCTGCATTCTTCTCATTTCCCCATGAGAATGCACTAATCCTACTATTCCCATTCAGGTAAACACTTTTTTTCCTTTCTTTGTTGTGAAAATAGCAACAGGATTTGGCCCACGGGGAAATAAAACTGTAGCAATACTTCAGATATCTTATGCATTGTGTCATTAATGTATTTTGATAAATAGCTTTGATAGCAGAGCTCCCATCCCCACTGCTCCTTCAGCTTCTTGATATGAGCTTGTTCTCCAGGTCAGCAATTCAACTCATCAGTGCTATGCAGTCTTCATTAACCTTGGTGTTATATTCACTTGTTGGTATTTTCATACCTCTTACATTTCTTAAAGACTTCTCCAAACTTAAATTAAAGCTTAATGGTACTATAAAGCACTTAAATTGGTTTACAACTAACGTAATGGAGTTCTGCTTGTAAGAATAAGGTGATTTTCAGTGGTATGACATACAAGCCAAGCTGACATTCCAAGCTAACATAGGTTAAACACCACACCTCAGCATGTTACAGAACAGCTTTGATACAAACTCTCCCTAAAATAAGCTAGCATTTTAAATTAAGTGTAACCCAACAGCTTGAAGGCAGGGGCTGAAAGAGCCAGTGCTCATCCCCATTCCTGCAGGCCCCACTGGAAGCACGAGGACTTAAACCCCAGCGGGGAGCCAGCGCGGACACCTGTGGGAGCCCAGTACCTGTGCCCGGGTGTGCACTGCGAGAACGCACTCTGAGCGGTGGGAAATATTGATATAACCACATCCCCAGGGCTCTCCGTCTGGGCTAATTTACATGGGCTTCCCAGTGCCTAGCATCAGTTCACTTACCTCTACATCTCTAGCCATATCTCTGTATAAAACCCTTTTAAATTCAAAACCCTTTTCATTCAAAACCCTTTTAATTCAAATGCAAGAAAAACTCTTTTAACTCAAAAGCAAGAAAAACCCTTTTAATTCAAAACCGAGTGTAGCACAAGCTTGGTTAGAGCTGATGATGTATTCAAGGAGATTTAGGGTTGGTTTTTATTTTCAGTTTATAAAACATACTGAAAACGATTTGTATACACAGGTACCTGGAACTCTACAGTATTTTGGAAATAAACCACTCATGGATAAGAACCTATAAAGTCTAAAGGTGGTAATTTTCTAGGGCATCTTTTATGCAAGGATCTCAAAGCCCTTTCCTAACATTAAATATCCTTAAACACTCCATGTGCTATTCCCATTTTAAGGAAAAAGTGACACACAAAGAGGTTGAATAATTTGGCAAAAAGGGACACATAACCCAGACATCCTGGACTCATGCCTTAGTCAGAGAACAATTCTATTGGGACTGGGTATTCAGCCTGCCATGCTAAAATTAGCTAATTAATAGGATTATGAAGAGAGAGACTTAATATTCCAGTAAGACCTGTAAGATGGGTATAGTTTCTAATACTTGAGAGAGTGTCTGTGTTGTGATAGCATACGAAGGAGAATACATTCACCACTGACCAATATGTTACCATTCACGCGCACACACACACAAAAAAGAGTAATTTGTTTTTGTAAATGGCGAACACATGGACAATAAGTAAAAAGAAAAATCATAAACATTAATCACCAGGGAACCAGAAGACCTCAGGCAATCCACCTCCCAAAATTTAAGCCTTCATAGCAACATATGTTTTTTTAAAAGGTAAGTTGAATTTTCAAATGCGCCTATGTTGGATAAATAAACAATAATAGCAAATGGTATCTCATGAGAGATTTATAATAATAGAGATTTACAGCAATACTGAACATGTAAGTTTAGTAATTAAGTGAACAGAAAGTGTTCAAATTTAAAAACCAGAGTGTTATTTAAAAACCCAACAGGTAGCTAACCCATTATGTAAGTTAGGAAAGGTTTGCTTCTGTAAATTCAGAGACTAATTTTCAAAGAAGATTCAAAGGTAACAGCAGGTCAAAATACAGCTTAACCATATCTAGGAAGGTATCTCTTATTTTATTTTGTTATTAACAATGTAAAATTACCCTAACCTACACAAAATATTGTTATTCTGATAAGGTAACTAGACATATTTACTGATAAAATCAATTATCTCCTTGCATAAAGGAGTTTATTAGTAGATTAGCAATCAAACTGGCTCTGACTTCTGCCTCTGGAAAGCCTCTCTCTGTTTCTCAGTTCTCTTTGGCAGTGACTTCTAGACATTTTATTTTCTTTTGGCATAAGTGAAATTAAACTGAACATAGCCTTCTTATGATTACTTTTCATATATACTAAAGGAAGTTGCTCTCCATACTGTCATATTCTGCTCTCCGTATTATCATATTCTTCTATCTCTTAAGGTTATCCTGATGTACTTAAGAAATTATGTACTTAAGCCACCTTAAAAAGGGCACCAAAGTTCTTGTCAAACAAGATACCCTCTGTATAACCAATGCATGCCTTGCTAACGACTGTGCCGCTGAAGAAGAAGGAACAGACTGATAAGAAGGGAACATCCCACCCCAGGAGCCGCCCAAAAGTTGAATAATTGCTAATAGGCATGAAGTCAGCAAAGATCTTTGGTAACTGGAGTAAAGATAAAGGCGGCAGGGGGAGATCATGACCACCGACTCAATTCCAGACCGAAAAGACTTACCCGCCCCACTCTCCTTGAGCATGCGCTGTAGAATAAAAGAACACTGTACCTTTCATTTGAAGCGGGGAAAACTTTAGCCCAATAGAAACTGTGGTAGATAAGCGACTACCAGTAATAGTTTTGGAGAAGAACTTTGGAAATTAAGTATCTATAACTGAACTGTATAAACTGCTTGCCCGTTTAGGTACGAGGGGTGCTAGCTTTGGGGATTACGACCTAGCCCCCATCTTTGTGCAAACATGAATTGGAATAAAATACCTCTGCTTGATGCGTGTATCAGCGTTTCTCACACCGGGTAAACCATCCCACTTTTGGGACAACAGTCCTATGCTAGTTCCTGTATCTCCTTGTGCTAGGTACAGTTAAGTGTAAAGGACTGAAGAGTAAACAACAGGTCTACATGAAGGTCTAAAGCAACAAAGTGTTTCAAGTTATCCTGAATCCAACAAAATTAAAGGATGGGGATATATCTGCATCTCTTGAAACGTTCTGATCGCCAAACAGTGTACTTTCATTACTTTCAACAGAGGTGACCGCGCAGTCAGACTTGAATATTGCCTGTGACAAGGTTTAAGCGGCTCGTCAGGAACTTTAAGGTTGTTTTCCTTTGGCGAAGTTTGCCTGGAATGAGTCTGCTGGGCTGTCGCCGTGACCGATTCCCTTAAAAAGTAATCTATTTTTCGCCCGCACCCTGGGCAAACCTCCGTTAAAATTAGGAGGTAGGTTCGATGAATCTCAGGTCTGTATTTTGAGGGAATTTCGGCTGCTGTTAGCCCCGAGGGTCCTTTTACTTCGTCAAAACGGAGCGAACAGGCAGCGGAGGCGCAAAGGGCCGAGGCAAGGACGTTTAACGTTGGCTCTGCCGACCTGCTCGGGCTGGCCCGGCGCTTGGGAGGCAAGCAGCGGGGCCGGGTCGGTCGCCCCTCATCCTCCCACGGTCACCGTGACAACGGCAGCCGTCCGTGGCAGCCCGCAAAGCTACGACTAACGACCCCCGCCCCCCCGGTGAGGGTGAGGAGGAGGAGGAAGAGGACGAGGAGGAGGAGGAAGAGGACGAGGCCTCCTCGCCCAGGGCCGGGCCGCGGACTCGCCTGACGGCCGCCTGGGCGCCAAAGCCCCCCGAGGCGGAAGCGCCGTTGCCGTGACGACCAGGACTGCTGAAAAGCGGCCGTAAAGCGCCTCAGCGGGGCCGCCGGCCAGCCCTCCCCGCCGCCCAGCAGGATCGATGGGACGCCGCTGGACCCACGGTGGTGACTATCACTTGGGGGGCTTGGAGAAAAATTTCTACCTTTTCTCCCTTTTTTTTATCACCTCCCTCTTTTTTTCTTTATTTTGGTAAGCGATAAAGTCAACTGACCCTTGGTTATCAACGCTGGACCTCGTTTGTGTCTCAGTCTTGCTTCGGGTGCATCCAATTTTTATTTTCCCTTCCATACTCTTGGAACGGGACGTTTTAACTGGCGTGGCGGGCAGGATCACCTTAAGCGACAGTGTTGATACCAAGGTTTTAATTAGTAGAAGACATAGTTAAAGCAAGGCAGCTCTTGGGGAGAGGGAGCGGGACGTTGAAATTTATAATTAGTTAAATAAGGCAGCCCTCGAGAAGGCCGCTCCCAAAGTGTGACGGGATGGAGAATGACTCTAAAGTATTGTTAACGGTTTTGGATGAACAAGCCGCTAAACCCTCACTGCTGGGTTTGGAGTGGGCTCGAAAAAATTGGTATAATGTGCAATTGATTGTGGACCGAATTATTGCCTTGCAGGCCGAGGCACTGAGCAAAGGAAAATCTGGTTTTGTGCGGTATTAGGTGCAGCCTTGTTAGCTGCTGTGGAAGAGAAGGGACAACAGGATAAAGCTGAAAGCCAAATCATTGTGTTGTTACAAGACCTGGTTAGAACCCTGCAGGTGCAATTAGAGGAGGAAAGGGCTAATGCCCGTTAACTCGGAGATGAGTTATATGAAAGACTGATGAAAGAGGCGGAGGATATGTCAGAAAAGGGATTCAATAATGCACTAGGAAGGACAGAGGAGAAAACGCCAACTTAGCCCCTGTCCCAGCTAAAAGATTGGCGGGATTGCTTGGATAAGCTATCCGTCCCACTGCGGCCACTGATTAAAACCGAATATTCATATGAAGATAAGGAGGACAAGGCTCCTCAAATAACAACAAAAGAAGTCCCCTTTACAGCCACCAAATTGTCTAAATTAAAAAAAGAGTATGGCCGGACTCCTAAGGAGTCGGAGATGGAGTATGTTTGGAGAGTTTCACTTACCGGGGGTGGCCAGATTTTATTGACAGAAAAGGAAGCTGAAGGGTATTGGGGACCTGGTGTTTCCCTAACCACGGGAAACTATCGTGCCCCTTGGTCACTCACACAGCGAGCGACCTATTGGGCTGGAGGCTTGAACCCCTTGGAGAGGGGAGACCCACTGGCCATGGTGGGAACTGTGGACCAGATAATAGAGAGTGTTCAAAAGGCAGCTTGTTTGCAAATGATGTATGAGAGGGAGTTAGAGCCATGCCATGAAGCCCCTATGATGACGCCAGTAGAACCAGAGAGAATGACCCCTCTTATAAGGGGTTCCTGGAGTCCTTAAAACCAATGGGGATTCAATTACAAGGACAAATAGCCAGTCTGTCGAAAGGGGAAAGAGCTGTTGCCTCTCTAGAAGGAGTAGTAACCCCCAATCGTAATTGCAGAGAGCGGAAAGTCTGGACGTGAGGGGAGGTGGCTCAGGAGTTGATTAATTATGGGCGAAAGTGCGGTCCAGTACCCTCTGATAGGGGGGACTTTAAAGCTATTAGGCACGTGGAGTGGAGGATTCCGATGCAGCAGTCGGGACCTAAGAAAACAACGCCTCCCATGAATCATGGAGGTCGGATAAATGTTAGTGAGAAACATAAAAAAAGAAGAAACAGTTTGTGGATTTTGGGGTTGCAGAAGGGAATCACAAAGACGTTAATAGATGGACAGCCCACTGACAAACTGGAATTATTAGTTAAAAGTTGGCATTCTGGAGAGGGACCAGAGAAACCTACTTCTGCTACGGCCCCTCCCCTGGAAGGGTCTCAGAATGAAAAGGAGGCGGGAAACTTCCTCCTTCATCCTCAGTAGGCGAAGGGTGGATGTTTATCAGAAGGCTTACCGAGAATTCAAGAGGGGACCTATTAATATCTTGCCCCATCAGCCCCCATAAAGTCACCATAGTGGTCTTCGGAGAATACCCAGTGAATTTGCTGGGACTAGACCTGTTGAAAGGAAGATCTTGGACTGATAATGGTGGAAAGGTGTGGGCCTTTGGACGGGAATTTCCAAGTTTCAGCTTATTGCAAGCTGCCCCCCTCCTTCCTCCCTCTTTAGTTACCAACGTCAAACCTTACCGCTTGCCTTTAGGGGCCCAAGAGGGGATTGCCCCAGTTATAGAGGAGCTAAAGGAGAAGGGGATTCTGGTCATGACACACTCCCCATACAACACCCCTGTATGGCCTGTCTGCAAGCCATATGGCAAATGGAGGCTGACTGTGGATTATCAGCAGCTCGATGTTAATACAGGACCCCTAACTGCGGCAGTGCCTAATACAGCTGGATTAATATCTATTATTCAGGAACAGGCCCACAAGATTATGGCTACTATTGATGTCAAAGATATGTTCTTCATGGTTCCCCTGCAAAAGGAGGATCAGAATGGTTTTGCCTTCACGTGGGAGGGTTAAGAATACACCTTTACCCATCTCCCACAGGGATTTAAGCACTCGCCTACTTTCACACACAATGCCTTAGCATAGGAGCTTTTGAATGTTCCTCCTGCAGCTGGAGTTACAATATATCAATATATTGATGACATAGTTATCACAGGGGATGAAATCATACCAGTACAGTGACGCAGAATGATATCATTAAACACCTAGAATCCCTAGGATTACAAATCCCCTCTGGGAAAATACAACTTCCTGTGCAAGAGGTGGAATTTTGGGGTAGCTGGTGGAAGGGAGGGATGGTACGCCTTCCCCCAGACACTCTAACCTCCATAGATCAAATAAAGGTACCGGAGGATAAGAGGGAGTTGCAGCATGTTTTGGGATTGCTGGTGTTTTGGAGAAAACACATTCCAGATTTTTCGATAATTGCGAGACCCCTGTATGATTTACTACGGAAGGGAGCTGAGTGGAAATGGACGCCCCTCCACAACGAGGCCTTACAACTCCTAATCTTTGAAGCCACTACACACCAAGCACTTGGTGCTATCCACCCCACTGACCCTGTGCAGATTGAATGGGGATTTGTAAATTCAGGATTGTCAATACATATGTGGCAACGAGAGCCTGATGTCCCTACACAGCCCATTGGATTTTATTCCTGTACCTTCAAAGATGCCAAAAAATGATACTCTACTTGGGAGAAGGGTCTTTTTGTAGTAAGTTTTGCCCTCCAAGAAGCAGAAAGGACTATTCATCGGCAGCCCGTTATCCTGAGGGGGCCATTCAGAGGCTAAGGAGGAGGGGATCAAATGGGTATTCCATACACCCTATTACCCACAGGCCAACGGCATAGTCAAGGAGACCGTTAGTTCTCTCAAATGATTCTTGAAGCCTCAAGAGGCGAACTGGGCCGATCAATTATGGGAAGCCGTTAGGCAAGTAAATGACTGGTGGGGAATGAACGAGTGTCCTAAACTTAGAGCTTTCTGCCCGAAGCCCCCTTCCCTGACACCCGCAATACCAGGACCCAATCGTGAACAGAATCCCTCCCATTTTCCAGGACAACCAGTGCTGGTAGAGTTACCTACTGTAGGAGCTGTACAGTTGGTACTCACTAGCCCACTGAATACATATGCCTGGAAAGCAAAAGTTGCTTCTGGGAAGGAACACAGGATAAATATTCGATGGATTGTTCCCTTATTTTAATGTCGGTTCTGAAAAGGACCGAACAGATTTTTATTTTTCTCTTCGTAGGTAGCCTGTTGAATGAAGAACCCCGGACCGTGAATGCAGACTGTCATATTTGGAATATGCATCAGCATCCTACTTGTGGGACTATTTTTAATAATCATGTGGGGGTGCTGTTTGTATTTGTATGGTTATGCATGTTGTATGTGTGTGCAGCAAACCAAACCCCTGGAAATGAGAATAATCGGAACCTCGCATGGGAACTCATTAAGGGGTTTGTAAGGGTGTGGAATCATACCAATCAAGGTATATGTGTTGCTTTCCCAGAATCAGCTGAACAAGGGTTGCGATTTTTTGTGACTCCAATTGACCTATCTTTTATCTTTAACGTAACCAGTACCAATACCACATCAAAACTTTATTTACCTATGTCCTGGGTGAACGATTATGACAACACCACCATTAAATGGCATCGAAGACCAATGGTCCCTAGTCTGCAGGAAACTTGGTCTCCCCTCTTCGGTGATTTAAATGCTGATCTTATGAATAAAACATGTAACGTCAGTGGTCCCGCCTTTAACCTTACTATTGACAATACAGTACAGGCTGGTCCTTTAGTGTCATTGGGAAATCACTCTCACGTTAGGGGAAATAATGCATTTCCCCCATTTATCACCCCGTGGAAGTGTGAATATTACCCCTGGGACCCTATTTTTGACCCACTAACAATACCTGATTATTATGAAGCTGACTATAACCTGAATGTAACGGTCAAGTGGTGTATTAAACTTCCTAACATGAGGGCAGTTGGCCCCTTAGATAAGGATAATTTGATGTGGTTTTGGTCGCGAAATGTTACTGTCATCGAGCCCTTACAATCTGGCAAAAGCCAAAGGTGGGAGCATAGTTTCTTGTTTAATTGTACTCGAACCATCACATGTGAGGATGGTCCTGGAGATCCTCCAGAGACCTGGTTTTTGTATGGAATACGAACCTTGATAAGAGATATGTGTACTTGCTGGGGATATCCCTCCATGGGATGGAAAAATAATGACACCCGGTGCAATACCACCTGGTCTAATGATACCTCGCTACAGAGAGTCTGCGGCATTCCATATACTCATTATCCAGTTCAGTCACTACCCATTGATTCACGACCGCCTGTACGTTTTATGGATTATAAGGATCGGTATTCATGTAGAAATAGTGTATACCCTACCCCCTTTGGTTTGTCATGGGTGTGTTCAAATGGCAAGTTTTATTCCTATCTGATGTTAGAACAACATGCAGGACTAAGTTGTGGGGTTGCATTGCCATCTCTTTGTCCTGGTCACGTTTTCAACATTACCAAATTATCTCATAGATGAGGGTGGTGTGATATTTTCGTCACACCCACTGTCAAGACCTCAATCAGCAACCAGTAGGCCAGATCGGGTGATTACAAGAATTCATGTCCCGGACTATTACACCACAGGGCAAACGATATCATTAATGTTTGAAAATATATTTGCCCCTTATCATACCCTCAAACGGCACCAGTTTGTATTAGAGAATATCACATGGCAGGTACATTAAGTAAACGGAATAGATATGCCTTTGGGGAACTAAATGTGCAAGTCCAGCAGGTTTCCCGAATGACTCTTCAAAGCAGATTAGCCTTAGATATGTTATTGTTAAAAGAACAAGGGGTATGTGGAATGTTAAATTTATCTGAAGCCGAATGTTGTATTACCGTTTATAATGCTTCACCCTCAACTGTGGAAGCCCAAGCTAAGATGGAGATAGCTGATCAGACCAGGGAGTTATTCCGATCGATCCAACCCCATGATTGGTGTGATGGGTTGAACCCTGGATCATGGATTACTACCATCCTAAGATCATTGGGACTTACTGGATGGGGGAAATGGTTAATCCAAATTGGAGTGGCTATCTTAACTGGCTTGGTATTTTTCATGATTGGCATTGGCCTAGTGAAGTGTATGGTAAACCACTTGATGAACTCACGTTCCTCCTCTGTTTGCTATATTTGAATCACCACTGTGGAAGAAGACTACATCGATTTCCCCCGAGGCAATGTCAAGCCATGGGGTGGTGTAAAGGACTCTGAAATATATTTGCGAGACTTTGTCTCGTCATTGCCTGTTTAATGTTTGCTCTGCCTACCTGCTCTGGCTGGCCTGGCACTTGGAAGATAAGCAGCAAAACCAGGATGTTCGCCTCTCATCCTTGCACAGTCACCATAACAATGGCAGCGATTTGTGCAATCACCAAAACTACAGCCTAACATCTTATGCCTGCACGATTGAAGGTCAGTTGGCGTTCATGGCATTTAGAGGGGGATCCAATGACTAACAACCCCCTAAAGAGGTGTCTGCGTGCACCATCGAGCTGGGGATTCACGCGATCATCACATGAGTGCCAAAGCCTACGAGGCAGAAGTGCCATTGCCCTGACTACCAGACTTGGGCAAGACTGCTGAAAAGCAGCCGTAAAACTCATCAACGGGACTGTATAAAAACAGGCATTAGGCAAGCACGGGCAGAGCTCTCCCCACTGAAGAAGAGGATCAACAGGACGCCGCAGGATCCATGGTGGTGACTATCACTTGGGTTTTTTTTAAGAAAATTTTTCTATCTTTTCTCCCTTCTTTTTATCATTTCCCTCTTTTTTTTTTTTTTTTTTTGTAAGCAATAAAGTGAATTGACCTTTGGTTACCAACTTTGGACCTTGTTTATGTCTTAATCTTGCTTTGGGTGTATCCAATTTTTATTTTCCCTTCCACACTTTTGGAATGGGACAGGGAGGTGGCAGGCAGATACAGGCCTGGTAGGGAATACCTTACAGGAAAATGATTCTGTAGCAGAATGCAAAGCCACCAGTATGGTCCTCTGCTAGTTCTCCCTGTCAGCAGGTCCATGACTAGCACACCTCTTTTTCTCCAGCTCTTATTAATCTCAGCTGGTCCTATGAGTCTTTGGCTATTTTTATAGTGCACTATAATTAACATCCAGTACAGATGACTGGGAATTTTCCAACCAAACTACAGAAGACACCAATGAATAAGAACTGGTTGTGGGAATGTGTTAATATCGATGGAAATTTCCTTTGGGAAGACTTCTGATCCAAATTGTATACTTAAAATAGCCAATAAGCTAGGCTCAGTTTTAAATTACTCCTTGGTCTGACTCAACTCTGCAACCTAACCACCAGGCTGCAGGCAAAAGCCGA